CAGCAGCAGCACCTCCAGCTCCATGGACTCCAGCAGCAGTACCTCCAGCTCCAGCGCCTCCAGCAGCTCCAGAACCTCCAGCTCCAGCGCCACCAGTAGCAGCACCCCCAGAACCGGCACCTCTAGCCTCACGGTCCCCAACTCCAGGGTCGACAGGACCAGCGCCACGGCCTCCGGCAGCAGCACCCCCAGAACCGGCACCTCCAGCTCCAGGGTCTCCAACGCCAGGGTCTCCAGCACCAGCTCCAGGGCCTCCAGCCCCAGTACCTCTAGCAGCAGCACCCCTAGAGCCGACACCTCCATCTCCAGGAGCAGTACCAGTCCCGGCAGCTCCAGTACCTCCAGTACAAGCACCTCCAGGACCAAAGACACCAGCACTCCCAGCGCCTCCACGACAAGCAGCTCCAGCAGCACGAATCCTCAGGCGGGTACGCGACGCAAGGCACTCTCTTGCCTGCTGTGGTGAGAGAGGCCCGCATCGTGAAACAAGACCCAGAGGAACGCTAGCAGACTCAGCACCCCCAGCTCCAGGGTCAACAGTACCAGCTCCAGGGCCTCCATCCTCAGTACCTCCAGCAGCAGCACCTCCGGAACCGACACCTCTAGCTCCAGGAGCAGCACTAGCCCCGGCAGCTCTAGTACCTCCAGTACGAGCACCTCCAGGACCAGAGACACCAGCACTCCCAGCGCCTCCACGACAAGCAGATCTAGCAGCACAACTCCTTAGGCGTGTATGCGACGCAAGCAACTCTCGTGCCTACTGTGGTAAGACAAGCCCGCGTCGTGAAACGATTCCCAGAGGAACGCCAGCAGACTCAGCACACCCAGGCTCCGCACCCCCCCGCACCTCACAGACGGGCTCAGCACCCCCAGACTCCACAGCCGCAGGCTCAGCACCCCCACGCTCTGCACTCCCAAGCACCTAACGCGCTGGCTCAGCACCCTCAGAAGCAGCACCCTCAGCAGCACCTGAGTCGCTAGTGACCTCTACAGGCTCAGCCAAGGGGGTCGAGTCTATCTGAGACACACCTGAAGGAGCAGGACCCTGAGGGGGGAGGGGGTCTACCGGAGGGGGACCTGGAGCGAGGAAAAGTAGCGGGGGAGGGAGAGGGGCAGTGCGGTAAGGGAAGAGTTTGTAGAAAGAAACCGACTCGTCAAAGGTGACGTCTTGAGAGGGGAAGACACGGCGCGAGGTGGGGTGGTGAAACTGCCAGCCAGGCGCGTGAGGGACAAAGCCGAGGAAGACACAGGGAATGTTGCGGGAGGAGAGCTTGTCCGGTGACGTATTGTGGACCAAGGGCACGAGCACCCCAGACCCGGAAACGCGACGCATCGCCAACCTCCCCCGTCCAACGCAGTGTGGGCGAAGTCTCCGGCAAGGAGACACGGGGCCAGAGGTTGAGCTGCTGCGCGGCGTACCGGACCGCAAACGGCCACAGAAAACGGGGAGCCGCCGCATGAATCAAGGAGGTACGAGCGACCTCTATGACTAAGCCAATGCGGCACTCAAGAACCCCATTTTGCTGTGGTGAACCCAGAAGCGTGAACGACTGCTCGATGCCCTCCCCCTGACAGAAGGCCCGCAAGAGGTCGGAGATGAACTCACCACCTCTGTCAGAGTGCAGACGTAGGACAGGAAGGTCCTGGCGGAACCTGCGGCGGAGCCGGAGACGAACTGCTCGGATCCAAGGGATCAGGAGAGCAGGGACCTCACCCTTGGTGCGCAAGGGGAAGACCGTGGTGTACCGCGAATAGTCGTCGACCACTAGCAGAAAGTACCGCTCACCGCCCTGTCCACGAACGCGGGCTGGGCCCCACACGTCCATGTGGAGGGTCTGCAGAGGAGCCTCTATCGGGGGAAACGAGGAGGAGTGAGGAGCGGCGCGCTGCTGCCCCTCGATGCAAGGAAGGCAGGGCGGTGCAGGTGAGGCAGGGAGGGGAGGGAGAGACCTGCGAAGACCAGACACAAGGAGGCGACGGTGCATGCCACGTAGACGTGGCAAGGAGGGGTGACCCAGACGGTGGTGCCAGAGAAGAGTCTGGTGCGACTGGGAGCGACACTCACAAGGGGAGGCTATCTGACCTGACGCAGACACCTAACCAGTAGCAGCTACCTGAGGAGGCGCAATCGTCAGTGTGTAAAGACTCGACCCTGGCCGACGGGTAAATGTGGCCAGATGGCGGCCGGTCCGGGGGCACGTACAGATCGCCACACGCTGTCCTCCACCCACTAGTCAAAGGTGTCAACCCACTGGTCCTGGAGAACTGCGTTGCTCACCTAGTTCGTAGAGAACGAGGGGAGGTGGAAACCTGTCAGTGAGCCAGACGGAACCGCCGGGCACGGAAGCACAGTGGTGGACCGTGCAAGAACTGGGCCATCTGAGGGGTCAGCCAGAGAGACTGCAACAGGTGCAGTGAGTGGTGTGAGTGTAGTACTGTCACGAAAGAAACAACGGGAAGCACTTGAGTCAAGCGTGAAGGTGTGCAAGGCCTTAGCAGGCGCAGTACCTGAGGAAGCAAACTCGCTAGCACCTAAGCCAGCAGCCTTACTAGCACTTAGAGCAGAAACCTCTATAGCGGGGTCGTACTACACGCACAGGTGACAGTCACGCTCAGCACCACCAGGCAAAGCAGACATGGCAGTAAGGATGGCGTCATAGTCTAAAGCAAAGACAGCAACGCCCGACCTAAGCAGCTCAAGCCAGAAGGGGATCTCAACCTCGTCGCCAAACTCTGTGCGCCAGGCGTCAGTCAAATAGGCGAAGCAGCGGGACTGTGTGTGACCAGGTGTCCCACAGGTCTCACCAGCTCGACGACCTGTGCGAATGACGGACGGGCAGCGACGCGGACTCGGAGACGGCCCACGCTGGTAAAGCCACTCACGAAGCTGCCGGGGCATAAGGGTCGGACGTCGCCGTAGCTGCATCTGGCCACCGCCGGACACTCCGCACCAAACAGCGCCACAGTGACTGCTACTACGGTCGCCACCACTCCCACTGCCGCCACCACCGCCGTCACCACTCCCACCGGTACGACAAAGGGAAGTCATGGCGGGCAAGCGAGGAGGAGCGCGACCTCTAGGGCAGTACGGAGTGAAGGCAGTAGCACGAGTAGCAGCAGCAGCAGTAAGAGCAACAGGGCGGCGCGCGGCCCTGTAGCCAGAGCAGGGCGGCGCGCGGCCACACCAGGGCAGTAGCTGGTAGCTCCTAGGGCAGAAGCACATGGGGCCTGTTTTTTTTATAATAATTATTTAACTTTATTTCGGGTTTAGTAGGGCACTGGCGCAGGGCAGGGCGCTGGCGCAGGGCAGGGCGCTGGCGCTGGGCAGGGCGCTAGCGCAGGGCAGGGCGCTGGCGCAGGGCAGGGCGCTAGCGCAGGGCAGGTTGCTGGCGCAGGGTGACGCCAGGCAGGGCAGCGCAGGGCGTGCGCTAGGCAGTGCGAAGCGGGGCAAGGCAGGGCATGCGCGGGGCAGCGCGACGCATGGTAGTGGGGTAACGCGGTAACCGCAGTCGGAAGCTAAGTATGGTGGGCCCGAAAAAAATATGTCTTAGCTTCCTACTGCTCTGAAACCATGTCAAGATAGTAAGCAGGAATGGTTGCATTGAATGAAATGTGGGTACAAGTACCAACCCTAACATCGGGTTGTACCCCATATGAGCTACCCCAATATAGCCTACACAGAACTAATACATATATAGTTTGACAGGTACAACCCAATTAGAGTTAGTACGGTACTTGTACCCACTTTGATCTTACCGTTCATTCATTCTTGCTCAGTATTCCGTAGGACATTTATTTCCTATGGTAGGGTCTGTTTTACATTTGGAATATGGATTTGTGGATGGAACTTTTTGTAGCGAGCCATTGCCATTTTCGTTTGGGAGGCGCCAAGCCGACAGTTTTGGCCCTGCGCAACGGTCAATTTTTGCGGCACGACATGGGAAGCGCACAGAGTCGCCGTCACTGGCAGAATTCCTTCGGGGTTGTCCACATCACAAGGGCGAGGGAGCAAAGGTCAGGGATGATACTGGACACTTGAGTCGGGTCGTGACTGCGGCTCCAACGGGTCTGAACCATGAAGGGGGACAACGGGTCAGAGAAATCAGGTCAGAAATCACTTGCTCTTTTCAGGACCCAACGTCCCGCCCGTATTTGGTGAGGAGAAAAGTGTATAAAGCCACAGAAAGGAGACACTAGAAAAATGTATCTCCTATTCTAAAAGTACCACTTAAGTTTAATGCAAGCCTGAGCATCTGAGTTTCAGTTCAGACTGGTGGTACCAGAAATGTAAGGAAGGTTATATTAAGGTCGTAACCGTGTACAACACACCTGAAATGTAAGGTACACGTTCTTTTAGTACAACGAAAATATCCCGCGTTGCCCAACTAACACACACGCTAACCCACATTAGTTGGCGGGAAAGTGGGAATTGTGGCCCACTCAGCCTGACACGCGGTTCGGGTGAAGTTCGCTCTGCTGCAAGCTTTGATCTGTAAGCTGCTCCATCAGCAAACCATGCTAAGGATTACGGATGCTTGCTTCCGTTCCAATCGTCATTCCACTCCGCAACCCGCTGCTCGCGGGTTCAGCCTAACTGACAGCCTAGGATGCTCGAATTGAGAGGTGCTCTCTTTCTTTGTTCGATTTTTGAGACCTTATGACTCGAAACACAACTATGACCGTGCAGCACTACCAATCTCGTTCACAGTACTGTTCTTTAGCAGATCTGTCCCATACCTAGGTAGCGCGATAGGACCTCCAGCCTTTATCACACCTTAAATTAGTCTCCCGTTGTGCTTGCCGGTACCATGGCGGGAATAACACTCTTCGGCGTCACCTTTTCCCTCGCAGCCATAATCGGTATTAGCGCGGGAATTCTCGCCGTCATCCTCATCATCCTCTCCCTCCTCACCTGCTGCTGCTGTTACATGTGCCGTGGCCGCAGCCCCAAGCGGCGTCGTTTAGATGAGATAGCTCCAGCACCCATGTACCCGCCGGCCATGTCAGCCGCTGGTCCTGGCGTGTACGCTAAAGGCATGGGTTCACGCGGTGCACTACCGCCGGGCCCGTATCATCACAGCTTGTCTCACCAACAGATGATGGGTGGCACGGAGATGCTTCCCCCGCGCTACATCCCTCCGCCCTCGCCCGCGGCGCTCATGCAGAGTCCCATGAGACCGCTGCTCGGTGCACCGCCCCCCGCGGGGAAGCCCAGCGCAGGCGCGCAGGAGGAGGGCGTGGTGGCAAAGTGGGAGAAAGATCTGCGCGCGGGGATGTTTCGCAAGGTGGGGCTGGCGGAGGTGGAAGCGGCCACGGGTAAATTCAGCAAGCGCGCGTTTCTTGGAGAAGGCGCGTTTGCGGCGGTGTACAAGGGGCGGAGTCCGTCCGGCGTGCCGTGGGCAGTGAAGCGATCGAAACGGAGATTGACGGAAGGTTCCGCCGGCGCCAGCGATTTCGAGAACGAGGTGATGATGATTTCGCGACTATCGCACAAGAATCTCGTACGGCTACTGGGTTACTGCACTGAGGGTGGCGAACACATCCTTCTGTACGAGTTCGCGGAGAATGCGACGCTGTCGCGCGCTCTGGGTCGCTCCCAGCCTCCGTTCCTGTCGTTCGCTCAGCGGCTGGAGATCGCGCTGGGCACGGCGGAAGGGCTTCACTACCTGCACAACGCGTCGTCGCCGCCCATCGTCCATCGCGACATCAAGCCTGACAACATCCTGCTGGATGGCCAGCTCCGCGCCAAAGTTGCCGACTTCGGGCTGCTCAAGAACATCATGGAAGGCGGCGGCGCGGGCGAGGTCGTCTCGTCCGTGTACACTCGCGTCGCGGGAACCCCTGGGTACCTGGACCCCGAGTACCACTGCACGTCCAAGGTGACTGTAAAAGGCGACGTGTACAGCTTCGGCGTGGTGCTTCTGGAGCTGTTCACGGGTCAGCGAGCGATCATGATGAACAGTCGCAAGCCCGGCGGCGGCGATGGCGCGAACCCCGTGCACATCTCGCAGTGGGCCGCGCCGCTGGTGGCGGCAAAGTCGCTGGACGATCTGGCGGACCCGAAAATGGGAGGAGAGTTCGAGCCAGCGGTGCTGCTGCGCGCGCTGGAGATTGCGCTGCTGTGCGTGCGCCCGTCATCGAAGCAGCGCCCCGACATGGGCGCGGTGGTGCGCGGACTGGCGGAGCTGCGCGAGCAAATCATGGCGCGCGACGAGCCCCCGGAGACGTTCGTGGAGGAGCACGCGCGCGGGCTGGATGACCCTGACTCGGATGAAGAGGCGGAAGCTGCGCAGGCGGAGCAGGGGCGGGCGGAAGGAAGTATGCGGGTGGGGGAGGAAACGGATGCGCCATCGCAGGAGTATTCGCGGGGCCCGGAAGAGCCGGAGGAAGAGAGAGACGACGAAGAAGGAGGGGAGGGGCTTATTGGCGCGGCGGACGAGGAGCAAGGGCTAGTCGCGGGAAGCTACCGTGGCAGTGACATCGGCGCGGGACCAAGGCAGCTGTCTGGCCGGCGCTCTTCTTCGGGCCGAAGCGGGCCAGAAGGTTCAGGAAGGAACCTCGGGAGTGCCTCTGGCGCTGGTTCGTCTGGGCGGAGGACAGAGGGCGAGCCCGGCAGCGTGAAGTACAGCGCGGGTGTGGAAACGTTTGAGACCGAGGATGAGGGGGCGCATGGTGTGGACCCCAGCAGCAGGCAGTACGGCGCTCCAGAGGCAGCGAACTCAAGGTCGAGTTACTACGACAGTGGGTTTGTCTACCCCGTGGGTGCGTTCGGGAACGCGTACGACAGCGGGTGGATGCCGCCGCATGGGGGCGACCGCGGGGAGGGTGGAGATCGAGCAGGCAGCCATGTGGTAGTGAACCTGGGCGCAGGCAGCAGGCGATGAAGGGTGGATACGGTAGACCTGAGAAGGGATAGTGTAGGCTTCGTTCAGAAGAAGCAGTATCAGGTTCGGGGATAGGGCCAGGTGAGGCTGCTCAGAAGCAAGAGTATGAGGAAACTTGGTGTGGGTATTGAGAGCCAGTGCTGCTGCCAATGCTGGTGGAGAGTGTGCTGTGCTTGCCGTGCAACGATTGAGGGGGGGCAGTCCTCCCACTGCCGTTATCTGCAGCAATTTCGCTGCTTTTATCTGTGTTGTCCTTCCCACCTAACTTTTCACCACAAACTCTGTCCTTTTCCTCATATACTGAACCTCATTGATGCCATGTAATGTGGGTAGATATTGATTTATTTGTGATTGTCAGCATTGTGGTATTGTCAGGGTCTTGTGTAACGAACGTCCAGCTCCACAACGCGTACAGCATGTTCAGCAATCCCCGATCGTACCCACCCACCAGGTCATTTTCGTGTGTTTCGATGCGGCTCAAGCTTCTTTCATATTGCAAACGAGTCGAAAGAATGTTCAGATTGGTCGGTTCGGGATGGGCAAAGATGCGAACTGGCACGCGCCCAATTCGTATTTCGCCTCAAACCTGCTACATTCAGGGTCGCGTATCCTGGACCTCCAGATTCGTCCCAGTACCCCCTGGGATGAATATGGAGGTCCAGGATACACGAAAACCAATCGGCAGCTCTGATTACGGGCCCGAGCGGAGCCTCTATCCGATATTAGAGAAAGCTCACACGTTGACCTTTCAATTCTAGAAAGCAAAGAAGAACACGCCTTAGGCACGACTTAGATATTGCATTTTCCGCGCAGAACTCGTAGGGCGTATTCCTGCACTTCGGGTCATCAGCACTTCGGGCCATCCGAAATTGTGGGATCCAATCGGAAATTCGGAATCAAGAGATTGGGATGCATTTCGATTTTCCGATTGGATCCCACAATCTCGGATGACCCGAAGTGCTGATGACCCGAAGTGCAGGAATACGCCCTTACAGTGGCCTGCATGCATATGTTGAATCCACTCGAAATTCATGAGCCACCTTCCTACTTCGAGGAGTGGTCATTCCACATGCCCACTGCTAGTGCGCCTCGATCATCACAACCAGCACTCTAGTGCTTCAATCGCTGCCTACATCTTGGCTCGACTCGAGGTGGACGGTAATTAATTCATGGTGCTGGAAATAGGAATAGATACCTCTCTGTTCGCGTACTTGTGAGCCATGGCGAAGCCACAGGATGGCGTGGATGAAGGCCTGCCACGCGGGCCGACGACTGCCCTGGCCGTGATGTTTCTCACGAACGCCTTGGCGCAAACCGTTTTACTTCCATTTGCGCCATTCATGGTCCAAGAATTTGGGCTCACAGAAAAGCAAGAAGACATTGGGTGGGCCTGATTGACCAATGTTTTTCAGATGACTGATGCTTCTTTGTGAGAACCTAACAATGTCATCTATACTGCAGATATTTTGCAGGTCTCCTTGCCTCCAGCACATTCGTTGGAAGCCTTCTCTCAAGCTTTTTGTGGGGGTACGTCAGCTCGAGTCATTTTCTGTTCCATCACTCTCCGCTCTGTTTTATTCCTCCCTGCTCTCGCTTTCTCGCTAGCTTTCTCTCGCTCTCCCTAATGCTCGGCATTCGTGAAACTACTGACGCAACGTGCAGATCATTGTCAGATCGAGTTGGAAGACGGCCTATTCTTTTGATGACACAGCTGAGTACGTTAATCTGCGGTTTACTGTTTGGATTCAGCACTTCTTACCGAATGGCGATGTTTGCAAGATTTCTGGACGGCTTTTTCAGCTCAATTGGAGTTGCAAAAACGTAAGCGCGCACAAGTTCACAGGAGGGAGCAGTTATCTCAGTCCTTACTCACTCTGCTTGGCAAATTTCATCCAGGTCGTTATCTGAGATCACCAACGACACCAACCAGGCAAAGGGGTGATTGCATAATTCTTTTGTGAGCGTTACGACTAGCAGTAAACGACCCCTTCGACTTTGAGTTGCTCTTCGTCATTGCAGGTTTTCTATAATTGGAGTATGCTGGGGAGTCGGCCTACTGTTGGGTGAGTCAAAAGTTGGTTTGAGTGTTCACCTATGCAGGATTTTCTTAAGTTGGTTTGAACCAGATTTTTTAGAGCTGACAGCTGCAAACTGCACAACAGGCCCTGCAATTGGAGGATTGCTGTGCCTTCCTTCGCAGAAATATCCAGATGTTTTCCCCAGAAATACCATTTTTGACCATTTCCCGTTTGCATTACCGTGCCTGGTGGTCGCAACCGTCACAACAACTGGACTTGTTGTTTCCCTGTTCATGCTTCCTGAAACACGACCTCGTGTTTCTGACAGCTTTGAGCGTTTCAAAGTTGAAAAATGTATCAAGGAAAACAGTGACTCTCCTTCCTCAGTTCTCGATCTCACTGATTCCGACAAATTGGAACTGAGAGTTGGCGTGGACTGCAAAAAACAGCTTGACTTTGAGAAAGAGGCTTTGCTAACAGGAAAGCCAGGGGAAGTGAACACGACTTTAAGTGATGAGCTCTTTCGGGTTGACACAGGTATGTGGCTGTCAGTTTTTTCATCAGCTACACTATTTCCAACTTCTAACATTCTGTTTGTCATATGCATGCAGTCTGCTCCGTCTTGATCTATGACCTTTTGGGCCTCGTCTATGTTGCTTATGATGAACTGTTCCCACTTTGGTGCTTATCTCGCTGGGACCTTGGTGGTCTTAATCTGGGATCTAATGAAGTTGGACTTGCTCAAACAGCCGGGGGAGTGTCACTGGTGGGTAATGAGCAATGAAACCTGCTTTTAACCTTATTTAAACTCTGATTTAAACTCTTGCGCTAACCTTGAGCATGTCACATTTCGCAGATTCCATTTCAGCTCTTTGTGTACCCAATGCTGAATCAGAGGCTCGGCCCAACACGAACACTGCAACTGGGACTAATCTTCGGAGCTACCTTGGGTGCACTACCTATTGTGAGGGTTGTTGGCACAGATCGCACAAAGCTTCTGATCGCCATAATGTCTGTCCAGATGCTTCGAAGGTATGATGCCGTTATGGAGTATGTCCATTATTCCCTGACTTGTCTGCTGCTAACATCCTGAAGCTGCCTTTGCAGCGTAGCATCCCTGTGCTCCTTCACATCTGTTTTCATCCTTATTTCGAACAGCGTCAAGCGTTCTGAGTTCTTGGGCACAGTTAACGGCATAAGCCAGACAGGAAATGCGGTGTGCCGTGCAATTGCACCAACGTTGGCTGGGAGTGTTTTCGCGTGGAGTATTGCACAGAAGTGGGTGCCCTGGATAGACCAACATTTTCCATTCGCACTTTTTAGCGTGGGTGTCATGGGCATACTGTACCTGTCATGCATGCTGACTAAATCTGCAGATACACGAGAGTGAACACTATCTGCCGTATCATACTATCGTACAAGTACGTACCACAGATGCCTTGCTGCTTTGTTAAAATTGAAGGGCCACACACACCCACAGGTTTTGATTCATTTTACCCTGCAGCTTTGGTTGTGAATGCAATTTTCCCTGCAGCTTTGGTGGTGATAAAATTTACCCTGTACTTTGGCGCTAGTTGTGGTTCTGGGGACAAAGTTTCACCCAATCGCCGGTACCAGTACGGTAAGTAAACTGAGTTCCATCCAAGGATGAAGTAAGGGCATGGAGTTTATTTCTTCTTAACTGGTAGTGAAATAATAATTGCAAGATGTGTAAGTGAAGTGTTTTACAATGTGAACGGGTGGGATGAGAAGGTAGGTACTCAACCTGAAGGAGTTGCCCCGTACCTTGTATCATCTTCAATACCGTACATCAATCGCCGGTACCAGTACGGTAAGTAAACTGAGTTCCATCTAAGGATGAGGTAAGGGCATGGAGTTATTTTCTTAACTGGTAGTGAAATAATCATTGCAAGATGTGTAAGTGAAGTGTTTTACAATGTGAACGGGTGGGATGAGAAGGTAGGTACTCAACCTGAAGGAGTTGCCTTGCCCCGTACCTTGTATCATCTTCATTACGTCAATCGCCGGTACCAGTACGGTAAGTAAACTGAGTTCCATCTGCTGCGATCAGAAGTTGATCGTGGCCTAGGATCTACTCAGGAAGGTTCGCACGCAGAGAAGTGATGTTGGTGGGCCCTTGACCTCTGTTACAATCCCAAGTGGGACTTAGCAAAGGATCGCTCAGGGTTGATCGCGGAGTAGTGTTGCAGCGGAAGTTTGAATCTCAGGTCAGAGTGAATGTAAATGACTGAGTTGATAATAGCATGCATACATCGAGTTTATATAAGAGTACAAGGGAATACGAAAGGACCTAGACTAGCCATGTACTCTAAGGGGTACATTCCCTTATTACAACTGAATTTAGAAACCGTGCGGCGCGGGAACCCGTTCAAAACCTGTTCCCGCTCTTTTCACTTCAAATGTTTCTGCCTGCATCGGTCTTGGTCTGACGGTTGCTGCGTCGCTTCGGCTCTTCTGACTCCTCAACTTCGTACTCGGTAGAGTCGGCTCCTGCAGCATACAGGAATGCCTTCTCATAAAACTTCACATCGTAACACTCCCCTTCATTCCTGGGCGCGGGTGGAGCTGACTCGCTTGACTACTCCGGTGAGATCAGAGCAGTGCTTATACTGCTGACGTGGCAGGCGCTTGGTGAGGAAGTCTGCTGCCATCTCAGTGGTCGGGCAGTAAGCGGGGTCCACTTTGCCTTGGTCGATTTCGTCCTTGACGAAAAAGTACCGAAGCGCGATGTGCTTCGTGCGGTTCACGAATCCTGGCTTGTTCGCAATTTTGATGGCACTCTGGTTGTCACAGTGAAGGCGAAAGGTAGGCGAGGTTGGAATTTTCGCCTCCTGCAGCAGCTCCTGCAGGTACAGGCCTTCGCGAACTGCTGCTGTCGCGGCGATGTATTCTGCTTCAGCTGATGAAAGGGCAACCAGCTCCTGCTTCTGGGAGTTCCAGGAGATTGGTCCACTTGGTTCCAGACGAAAAACGAAGCCGGTTCGGGACCGTCGATTTGCAGGATCAGCTGCGTGGTCTGCGTCCACGTAGCCGTTGAGGTTGAAGGAGGTCGTCGTCAGCGTGGAGTAGGAGAGCTCGATGTCAGGTGTGGAGATGAAGTACTGCAGGGCGCGCTCCAAGTCCAGCTGGTTCTCAGCTACTGGCTTGCGAGAGTACTGCGCCAGTTGGCTAGCGATGTACGAAAGGTCGGGTCGGCAGGTGACAGAGGCGAATAGCAGGCACACCAACTTCTGCTTGTACATTTGTAGTCCTGCGGGCGACAGAGGTTTGTTGTCTGGTTTGTAGTTGGTGCTCGGGCTGCGGTAGGGAGTTGAGAGTGGTGCGGGTGAGATGTTGAAGCGTTCCCCCAGCTGCTCTGCGTACTTGGAGGCTAACAGATGAATTGCTTCTGGCGCGTAAGTGATGTTTAACCACAAAAACTGCTTTACTTCGAGGTTGATGGTGATGTCCACGCGCTGTGCCAGGTTCTCCTGAAACTGGTCGAGGAGTTTGTTGCAGGTCCCCGTGTACAGCAGGTCGTCTACGTAGACTGTCAGGAGGATGTAATCGCCGCTGAAGTGGAGGCGATACATTCCCGGGTCGTGTGGGAGTTGTTTGAAGCCGATTTCGAGGAGGATTTTGTGCAGATGCTGCTGCCAGAGTCGTGGCGCCTCTTTGATCCCGTAGAGTGACTTCTTCAGTTGACAGACCCTGGGATCACCTTCTCCGTAGGTGTGCGGCTGCTCCACAAAGATGGTGGCATCCACCAACGCGTACAGAAACGCATTCTTCACGTCGATCTGTCGCAGTGGTAGGTGCTTCGCGGCAGCAATAGCGAGTAGAATCCGGACCGAGGTATGGCGACTGACGGGAGCGAAGGTCTGATCGAAGTCTATGTCGTGACGCTGGTCGTACCCGCGTACGACCCAACGTGCTTTGAAGCGCTCAATAGTACCGTCAGCGTTAGTTTTGAGACGAAAGACCCATTTCCCGCTGAGCACCCTCCTCCCCTTCACTGCTGCACGATCGACTAGAACCCAAGTGTCGCGCGATTCCAGTGCTTTCAGTTCCGCATCCATCGCAGCATGCCACTCCTTGGCGTGTGGGCCGGTTAGCGCCAGGCGAGGGTTATTAGGTTCCACGGTCCGCGCGAGAGTAGAGACGGACGTGTGCAGGCCAAGAAGTTGAAGGCCTGACACGTTGGTGGTGTCTGCGTTGGTGGGGACTTCAATCACGTCGTCATCTCCGCTCTCGTAGCCGGGTGGTGCGGTGCTTGGTTCTGTCTGGCGCCGTGATGGTCCTGGCGCTGGGTCGTCATCGCTATCATCGTCATCGTCGTCGCGCGGGCGAGGGGGGATGCTGGGATGTTCGTCGGTGTCGTCGCGGTCCAGAACTGCTGCTGCTGCTTCATCTTCAGGGGTCGCGAAGCTGCGGCCGCTGTTGGTGTAGCCGCGTGCCTGGTTACGACGTTCGTCCTTGATCCACTGCGTCAAGGTGAGCCGTTCGTAGAAAAGAATGTCACGCGCAGGGACAATTTCCTGATTGTCCATGTCAAGGATGAGCCATCCTTTGTGCTCGTGGCTGAGTCCTAGATGAACTCCCCAGCGTGCACGATGAACGAACTTGCCGATTGTGGCCGAAGTGGGCCGATACTGCACCATGCACCCCCAAACCCTCAGCATGGAGGGGTCTCCCCTTGAACCGGTCCACTTCATGTGGGGTGACAGGTTATCCCTGTTGGCGGTGGTGGAAAGGAGGTTGTGCAGGCGCACCGCGTGATTGATGGCGTACGGCCAAAATTTCTTTGGCAGGCCGGACTGGTTCATGATGGCGCGAACTTTAGTCATGAGGGTCCGATTGACCCGCTCAGCAACGCCTTGTTGTTGGTGAGCATAGGGAAGGGAAATCTCATGCTTAATCCCCTTCTCGGTGAGCACGCTCTCCAGTTCATGGCTGCGAAATTCTTTTGCCCCATCACTCTGCCAGATCTTCAGTTTCCTTCCCGACTGTCGCTGCGCGTGCGCGAGGAAGATACGGAACACCTCCGGGGCTTTGGAGCGGGCGTCAACATTGGCAACCCACACGTGGCGTGAGTAGGCGTCGATGAAGGTCAGCGTGTACTTTTCGCCGTTGAGTCCGTCGCAGGTGAGTACGATGAAATCGCTGTACACCTTTTCCAATTTCTTGTAGCGGCTGGTGCTTGGCTCCAGAGAGGGATAGGCAGTGTGAGAGAGTGCGGCTGTAGGGCAGACAGTGCAAGTGGTTGGATGGGGGGTGGTGTGTTGTAACTCCGTCCCGTCGGGGCGCAGCAGTGCTCCTGGCGGAAAGACTTTTGCACGGAGGCAATTGGCGAGTGTATGGCGCGAGGGGTGTCCCATCCGCTGGTGCCAGAGGTCATCCTCGGCACGGATGCCGGAGGTGCGCTTGTAGCGGGTGTGGTACTCTGCTGCCTCCTCCGCTGTGAGTTCTGGGATCTGGAGTGGGGGCTCTTCCTCTTCTCCTGGTTCTGCTTCGTTGTTCTCCTCCTCTGCTTTTGCTTCTGCCGCTGCTTCCCCTTCTGTAGGTGCCGTTGAGAGATACAGGGCAAGAAATTTGCGATCGGGAATGATCGTGAGCGGGGTCGTGGTGCCTTCGATGAAGCGGGCGTACGGATCTGGGCGGGAGATTGGACCGAGTGAGTCTCGCGGAGGTTTTGGCGGTACATTCCCCTCCTCAATCTCCGACCAGGGATCACGCCAGTGATGAGGTGAGCGAGGTGGTTCGTCAGTGCGAGGGGGTCGACCGAGGGGAATGGTTACTCGAGGTGAAGCTTTGCCGCGCTCAGCTTGTATTTCTTGTTCAGCTTCCTCCAATTCCTCTTGCGTGAGCTCCCCTTCGTCAGGCTCGTTGTTTCCCCATCCTCCTGTGGTGACCGTGACGGTTCCCCATGCTCCAGTTGAGGTTGCGCCTTCTTCTGGATCAGCGGGCTCGTTGCCCCATCCTCCGCGCGCAGAGTCTGGGTCCCATCCTGCCGCGATGCGCTCCTCATACAACTTCTGCCGCTTCTCCGCTTGGGCCTTCTCCTGTTCTTCCTTGACGCTCAGCTCCTCTGGTGCGTCAGGATCTTTCCAGGCAGGGTCAATCTCGCGGTGGTAGACTTCGCGAGTGTACGGGCGCGGACGTCCTTCTTCGTCGAGAGTGCGCGTGTTGGCTTCGAGGACGAATCGTAGGGTGTCCGAGTAAGGCCTTGGTCTCTCCTGCTGTTCTTGGCCGAATTTCTTGCTTGGCTCACCGAATATGCGGTGTGATGATATGGCGAGTTCTTCTTCAGTCATGCCTGTTGGTTCTGTCTCAGCGCTTTCTGCTTCCTGAATTGCCGCTTGCTCCTTTTCCACTTGCTCCGTTCGACTT